GACAGTCAATGAAAAATAATAAAACTTGTTCTTTAAAACAAATTCCACGGTATGTGATCTAGTACTTGAGGTGGAAGAGAGAAGGATATAAATAACAGAACTTATTGTATTTATGGTTTTTGAATGTTTTTATGGTATTTGAATGGTTTTCAGCTCATAAACTGAGCTCACCTGTTTATTAGAAAGAGAAATATACAAGACCTTTCAAAGTTTAAATTTGCTATCATCATTGATATAGCAAAAAAAAAAAGCTCAAAAAACTTTTGAGCTCAAGGTGAGATATCATTACATGTATACAGTATACAGAACTGGGCATCAGAAAAACACATACTTTACCTTTTGGAGCCTCAGGAATATTTTCTGTAAATTCAGGAAACTAAACTTGTTCGGTGGATTAAAACTTTTCTTAGCATTAGAAATCTTTGTTGACATGTAATCTTATGTTGAAACACACATACACTCATGCACTGATATGATTTGGCTGTGTCCCCACCCAAATCTCACCTTCAGTCATAATAATCCCCATGGGTCAAGGGTGGGGCCAGGTGGAGATAACTGAATCGTGGGGGTGGTTTTCCCCATACTATTGTCTTGGTAGTAAATAAGTCTCATGAGAGCTGATGGCTTTTAAATGGGTGTTCCCCTACACAAGCCCTCTTGCCTACCTCCATGTAAAATGTGACTTCATTCTTCCTTTGCCTTCTGTGATACTTGTGAGACTTCCCCAGCCATGTAGATTGAGTCCATTTAAACTTTTTCTTTATAAATTACCCAGTCTTGGGTATGTCTGTATTAGCAGTGTAAGAATAGACTAATACAGGCACACACACACATACACAATCAATTGGTTAAATTGGAGCTATGATTTAAGCAGAGTAGACTCATGGAACTCATCTCATTCTATTTTCCCCTAAACATCAAGGAAGCCTCCCAAGAAATATGTGGCACAGAGGAAAACCACTAGACTGGATAATCTCAAAGATTTATGATTCTGTCATTTTAGATGCTGTCTGTAATATGGATCTGCTGTGAAATGAGAACCCAATATCTGCATAGAAAAAACAGCCACAAGTAACTTGTATAAGAAAGCAGACTGTCATTTTTACTTCAGTTGCCACCTTTGAAGCACCATAATTTTGGGGATTGAATTAACCTTTTGAATCTAGTTTCAGCTAATAATTTTTAAATCTTTTTTTGTTTGCTAATTTAAGTGACTGTCACCTGTTACAACAGCATAACTTAGATTCTCTCAGAAAGGCCCCAAACCTGTGAAACTAATTTAGGTTTGCAGCTGTGTTTGCTTATAGAAACAACAGTCAGATGCCAATAACCAGGAACTACCCACAGATGAACTAAGCCCAGAAACGGTGCCTTCACCTGAACTCCTGCCTCAGTGCGAGACTCATTCTCATATCAACATTTCCACCCAATGGGGAGAAATGTACCATTCTGGGTACAAAAAGCATGAGGTGCAAAAGATAATACAAGACTACACATACTTCAACCCCTCCTGGAAGAACATATTGTTTTCAAGGAATCCCAACTCCCATCTCCACCTACCTGCCCAAAAGCCCTTAACATCCTCTTTACTCTACTTCTGGGAAGAAGGTGCTTTGAGCCTGAGAACTTGATCAATGAATAAAATTTCTGCACTGTTTTGACAAACCTGGTCTCTTTATGTTGGCTTGAAAGGTACCAGGCATGGGAAGAAAAATGCAGTAGGGTCAATTGAGGCCTTTTGAGGGTCAGTTGATAAGGGGACTACATGATTTTTTGTTGTTTTTAAATCACATCAAGACGTTCTATTAAATTTAGTAACGTTTTCCAAGAGTTTTCTCAAGGCTCTTATGCTCAACTTCTCCAGAACTTTCATAGAAAATGAAAATAGTTTGGATGATAATTGTAGCAATAAGCTATAGGAAACAGTAGATCTCTGGCCTGAAAAAAAAAATATTTTAGGGCCTGTTAAAAAACAAACAATACAAGACAAAAACAACAGAGGTTGTACCATGGGATTAGCAAACTGGATGGATATCAATTCTGATTAGATACTTATTAAAAATGCCTGGGGCTCTTTTAAAGCACTCAAGCTCTGCTCACCCCAGAAAAATTAAATCTAAGTCTCTGAAGCTGTTCCAGTGGATAGATGTTCCGTTTTATTTTCTTTGATTGTTTTTCACATAAGTCCTAATTTTAGAATAACGTACCTTTACAAACAGTTTCAAAGTTCAGAGAATCCTTATATACCCCACACCCAATTTCCATGATTACCATCTAATATTAACACATTTTTATAGTTAATGATTCAAAAGTCATATATTTTTATTAAACTAAAGCCCATGCTTGATTCAGATGTTTTTAGTTTTTATCTAACATGCTTTTTCTGTTCTAGGATCTCATCCCACATACCACATTACCTTTAATTATCATGTTTCCTTAAGCTCCTCTTGGCCGTGACAGGTTTTCAAACTTCCCTGTTTTTATGACCTTGATAGTTTTGAGGAGTGCTGCTCAGGTACTCTGTAAAATATCCTTTAGCTGGGATTTGCCTGATATCTTTTCTCATGATTAGATTGAGGTTACAGGTATTTAGGAGGAAGACGACAGAGAAAAAGTGTCATTCTTATCACATCATATCACATCATATCAGGAACAAAAGACATTAACATGACATTATTGTTGATATTGACCTGGATCACCTACCTAGCTGATGTTTGTCAGATTTTTTCACTGTAAGGTACCTTTTCCTCTTTTCATATTGCACTTTCTAGAAGAAAGTTATTATGTGCAGCTCACAATTAAGGAAAAGGGAGTGATATTCCAACTCCTTGAGGGGGAAATAGTTACATAAATTATTTGGAATTATTCTAATTGGGAGACTTATCTGTTCTCCCCACTTATTTATGTACATAATCAATCAATGGTTTATACCTGCATGGGCTCAAAAATAGTTACTTTACACCTTGGAGTATACTCCAGCGTTAAGGTATTTATTTTGCTGATGAAATTGTTTCAGCTTTGACCATTGATAGGTATTTTAGTTGGCTCCTGTATCCCCTTAATATGCTTCTATCATTTTGTTTTTTAAACCCCAGCCAGGCACATCACGTATATTCCCTGCCCCAGCCTTAGAAGCAGCTGTTTCTCTAAGAAGCCCAGGTTCCTTTTATTGGAAAATAGTACTGGAAACCAGCACCTGGGCACTTGGTGTGTTCACCACTGTTTCTGGGGTATTAATGGTGCTTCTAAGCCTTGTCAGTAGACAGAAGTAGAAAATACACCTTGTATGTTTATTGCAGCACAATTTACAATAGCAAAGACTTGGAACCAACCCAAATGCCAATCAATGATAGAACAGATAAAGAAAATGTGGCACATATATACCATGGAATACTATGCAGTCATAAAAAAGAATGAGTATATGCCCTTTGCAGGGACATGGATGAATCTGGAAGCCATCATTCTCAGCAAACTAATACAGGAACAGAAAACCAAACACCACATGTTCTCACTCATAAGTGGGAGTTGAACAATGAGAACACATGGACACAGGAAGGCAAACATCATACACTAGGGCCTATTGGAGGGTGGGGGGACAAGGGGAGGGAGAGCATTAGGACAAATACCTAATGCATGCAGGGCTTACAACCTTGATGACGGGTTGATGGTGCAGTAAACCACCATGGTACATGTATACCTATGTAACGAACCTGCACATTCTGCACATGTTCCCAGAGTTTAAAGTAAAATTTAAAAAAAATAAAATTTTCAAAAGAAAAATTTTAAAAAAGAAAATATACATTGGCACCATCAACCTGTGAATACACACATATCTACATTAAAATTAACCTGAATTCATAGTAATGTTTCCTACTCAAATTCATTACTACGTGGACCATTCTACATTTTTCCCCTTGCGCATCTATAACCTCCCACTACAACAGTGAGAAATCTGGCACCGTTCACCATCTAGTTACATATTTGTTCAACCCTATGTACATATATAGTGATTTCAGAATTGTTACGGTGCTTTTGTAGGAAGCAACTTTACCAATTAGAGTGCAGTGCTTATGCACACTTCCTATTGCCTTCGGTCTCAGTCCACTCAATTCCAATAAAACTTAACACCTTGTTTCTCTGCCTCCTTCAGTGAGGTTATGCATACCTTCATGATACATTTAGATTTCTTAGTCACAGTCTGCATTCCATCTTGGAACCCTCTGACCTCCTGAATTGATTTTTTAAAATTTGCAAATGCTAAAGCTCAGTATTTGAGCTGTAAATTTATGTGGGTTTTGACAAGTGCTTAGTATCAAGTATTCACCACTAAAATATAGCAGGGGTGCTTTCTGGAAGTTTACCATGAGATTCTAGTGTTCATCTAACATTAGGAACCTTTAGACTTTTCTGTCAAGTTCAGGTTCTGATGTATCTAACTTTAGTTTTTGTGTGAGCAGAATTGAGAAGACTGGTGTGCCTCTCACTGAGGAAACTGGCTAAGTTAGCTAACCTTTTTGTGCAGGTAGTGCATCCTCCCCCTGAGCCTCACACTACTTGCTCAAGAGTTGTTAGAGGACTTAAATTGAATAATAAAAATAAAGCATACTTCAAGTGTTGAAAAGCAGTAGGTATTTAGTAAATGTTAGCCATTAGTTTATTCTGATGTCCTAATAGTTTCTTAACATGACTCACAAAAAGAAATTTCAAAAAGCAAGAGCAAGAAAGCAGAGAGAAATAGAGGGAAAGAGAGAGAGTTTTTTTTTTTTTTTAACTTTCATGCATTCCAGATTAGACATTTACTAGGTTGCTTCCCCATAGAATCATTTGTGGTTATATAACAGTCCGAATGTCCAGTCTGCCCTCACAATCACTAAATTAGAATTTCTGATAGTGGTGGTAGGGTAGAGAAAATAGCTTCAGTAGTGTTTAAATATGCCCAGATGACATCAGTGATGTCTTAGTCAGTTTGGGCTGCCAAAACAAATATATCACAAACTGGGTGGCTTAAAAAAAACATTTATTTCTCACCATTATGGAGGCTGGGAAGTCTAAGTTCAAGTTGCTGGCAGATCTGGTAGCTGGTGAGGCAAGATTCTTGGTTTGTTTTCTTGTTCTATCTTCACATGGCTGAGAGGAGAGAAAGAGGAAGTGGGCTTTCTTATGTCCGTTTTTATAAGGACATTAATCCCATTCATGAGGGCTTTACTCATGACCCAATCTCCTCCCAAAGGACCCACATCCAAATACCATCATCGTGGGGATTAGGCATCAACATATAAATTTGAGGACACAAACTCCCATTCTACAGCAAATGTGCAGCCAAGTTTGAAAATCACTACACAGCAGAAGAGTTTCACCTTTACTCCAATTTCTCCAGATTCTCTGACTCAAGGCTTTGAAACAGACTCCAGAATGTGACCAGAAAGAGCAGCTTGGCTGAATGTGCACATGAGACACAGAAAAAGAGTATCATAGCTGTGATGAGTCATTTTTGTTGTGTTTCAAAATCCAATTCTCAGCACTGAATTTCATTTGATTAGCTCAACACAGTCAAGGTGAGGGCAGCTTAAGTGTGTTGGTCTCCCTCGGGTTTCCCTGATCAAATTTCTGGCTCGTTCTCTCTTTCTTCACTGTTTCCTATTCCAGATAGTGGCTTTTCCTTCTCCTGATGACATGCGTTTATGCCTCCATGATTAGAGGTATAACATTTCATTTGCACCTGGTCATTTCACCTTGTTTTATGATGAGCAGGTTTATAAAAACCTACCCATGAAAGCTGAGAGGGAGCTGAGAGGCCAAAGAAAGAGGCTGACAAATCCAGTTTCTCAGAAAGAAAATATTTAAGGGGGACTTACAAACAAAAGCAATGTCTAGGCAACTGAAGATGGTAAATCTCAGCTCCAGCCCTCAAAAAATGTTCATTTCTGTAAAAGTTTTTAGCATAAAACATATAAAGCTGGTCACATCCCAGACTCTCTTGCTACTGAGGAAGTTAGATAAGCATCTTTCTGAGGGATGATTCATGCTACAGGCACTGTTTTAAGACCCTGCTGCAGAACAGCTTGGTAAGCAGGAGTCAAATGTCTGTCGTCATTGTGGTTTCTTTTCATGAAGGTGTCACTCTTGCCATGCCACAGACTGCTTTCCTGCACAGCTGCCTGGGGATGAGGTGAATGTATTTTTTCCCTCTGTCTTTCTTTCCCTCCCTTTCTTCATCTCTTCTCCTCAGCATTTCACAAACTATGTTTAAATAATTCAGTTTAATGTGAGATGTTAAAAGATATATTGAAAAAGAGGGCTACCACAACCAAATACCTTTTAAAAAATACTATATCCTCTGTCCAACATCTGCAGCATGTATTAGCATGTGAAAGACAGGGTGATGTTCTCCAATGACATAAGTTGATTTACATTAAATTATCCATATATATACTTTTAGGAATATTTTTGGGGGTGGTGAGAGCAAGATGAACACTTCTTATAAAAAGCTTTAGTCTGTGCTGTCACAGAGTAGGAAATAGTTATTTACTGATAATTATATGAAATATATCAATATACTTCTTTCTTCTGCCTGATGCAGTTTAGTGTCATTTAAAATGTGAAGCTCCTTAAATTCAAAATCCTAATCCAAACTGCATCATAGACTTAGAATCACATTAAAATTTGACAAGCATAGTTTTAAATATGCACATATTCATATTCAGGCCTGGCATGGTGGCTTATGTCTGTAATCCCAGCAATTTGGAAGGCCAAGGTGGGCAGATCACTTGACCCCACAAGTTTCAGACTAGCCTGGGTAACATAGCCAAAACTCATCTCTACTAACATTCAAAATAATTAGCTGGGTATGATGGATCATGCCTTTAGTCCCAGCTACTTGGGGGCCTGAGGCAGGAGAATCACTTCGGCCTGGGAGGTCCAGGCTGCAGTGAGCCATAATCATGCCACTGCACTCTGGACTGAGCAATAAAGGGAGACCCTGTCTCAAAAAAAATCATATTCCAAATTCAGTGAACACCTACCACTTTTCAGGCACTTGTATATATGTCATCTTATTGATTCTTTACATCAACCATGTAAGTTATTATTCTCATATGAGGAGAAGACAAAAAAACACAAGGAAATGGAAGTATTTGTCTAAAGCAGAATTTTTGGCCTTGACGCTGTTGATATTTTGGGGCAGATAATTCTTTGTTGTTGAGGAGCCTAGGATGTTTAGCTGCATTCCTAGCCTCTACCACGGCATGATAGTAGTGTCCCCCCACCCCCACTTTTTGTGACAATGAACAGATCTCTATGCATTGTTATATGTGCTTTGTGGAGCACAAGTACCCAATCAGTTGAGAACCATTGGTCTAAACCCATGCAACAAATAAAATGCCAAAGTCAGTGCTTTTAGTTTCCTTTCTAGATATTTATCTACTTTTCAAAGACAATGCCCTTATGGGTCTAGACCCATCATGCATAATCATCTGCCAACCCTTTGCTAAAATGTCATTAACTTTATGCAATATCTCTTACTGGCCCAGCCAGTATAAATGACCTGAGACTGAGTTCCATTCTCATGTAAAACTTGATATGGGCCAGAGGAACAAATGGGAGCCACAGGCTCTTGTCTTGAAAAATATGCTGTAGGGATGTAAACTAGAATGTCCAAATGAATCCTTGTTGCTGCTAAAACAGATGGTGGGTCTGCAATTTTGTTTCTGGATATACAGCATGACACTATTACTGGAGCTCCACATTGTGGTAACCTCCCAGAGTATGTGCCATTTTGCAATCTGGCATCTAGTTTCTTTATCATTATTAAATCGTTTGCACACAATGAGATGATTATTAGATTTTTCTTTGTCTCTGGCATTTGGTTTTTCCCTTCTAAATGTTAGCCAGATTTCTGTTTCAGAAATTCTTTTTTTTTTTTTTTCTCCTATCAGTTATGGGATTTCTCCTAGACCTGTAATCTCATTTCGGGTCAATCTCCCTAATTTTATCACCTACATTGTCTTCATTGACCTTTTTAAAGTCTTACATCTCTTTAGCCCCTTGGGAACTTAATGCTTGTTCCTGGTGTTTCTTCCCATTCTCCTTTATACACAGAGGATCCGTAGATTATTGTTTTCTACACAAAGGTTTTGTTCTGTCAATAAAGTACCCCCTTCCTGCTTTTAAAGAATCTGAATGCCCAACTACTATCATCCCTCATCAGATAAAACTCATCTTAACATTTGAATCTACAGGCAGATAGATAGATAGATAGATAGATAGATAGATAGATAGATAGATAGATAATTTTTTCTTAAAATGAAAAATAAATTCTCAGCTGATATTTCCTTCCAGGTAGTTTTCCTAGAAAAAGGTAGAAAATTTCTGTTCAATCTCTTCTTGACACTGAATTTCAGAAGACACCAAAAGTAGGGCCAAAATCTCTGAGTTGACTATGATGTGTTTTGCCCCAAGGCTAAGTTGTGCCAAGTCCAGGAAATGAAAAGCAAAGATGTGCCTTTCAATTCTCTTGCTCTCAGTAGCTTTCCAGGAGGGCCAGAAGTGTTCTGCAGCCCCGGAGCCAAATTGCCTAAGGATGAAAGATTCCCACTTGGCATAACAGGGAGGCTTGCTCCTTTTCAACCTCTTTGCTCAAGTTCACAGGGACTGGAGATTCTTTCCTTTTAATCTAGAGGAAAAAACCCTCAAAATAGAAAAGGCTTCAATATTTAACTCCCAGCTAGACAGAAGAAGGTGATCTTTTATCAAATATTATTTGAGAGGTTTAGAGTGTTTCTCCACACTCCATAATCACTTTAAAAATCTCCCCCAGCTACCTGTACTTATCTTCTTAAAGATTGATTTCTTCTTTTAAACATGCCTTTGGTCTAAAAAATTCACTGCTGGAGTGAAAATATATCTTACTGGTACAATCTTTAAACAACCATAATATTTTAGAGTAGTATTTTCTAAAACTTTATTATAAAAAGTAGTTATTTTAGTAAAAAGGACAAAGGTCATTCTTAAACTGCTAAAAATACACCTTCACCCTTCTCTCTTCCAGACCTGCTCCATAAGAATTGCCAAGTGGGCTTCTCCATTCCTATGGATCAATGTATTTTTAAAAATCCTCTAAGGCCTTGAAATATATCACCAGATTTGAGATTTGCTATTTGGAAAATTCTAGGCCTGGAACCAAAACTCTGGAACAGAGAATGGAACTCCAGTACTACGGGGCCAAAGGAGGGGATTTGGTAATTTGCTGATTTCAGCATTTGCCTGGCACTGTGCCTGGCACATTGTTAGATATTTAATTAATAATATCTGTTGGACAAATAATAGCACTAAAACAATATGATCAACAGTAACAGGAGCATATGTTACTTATTTAGGTTAAGGAATAGGAGCAGACCTTTATAGATTATATTATTTTATGTCATTCCTACAATGCTTTTTTTCCCCCCAGGAAAACAATATTACTGATATTCATGTTATAGTGTATAAATTAAGGCTCAAAAAAATTACCTGACTATGAGTCTACTTAACCCAAGCCTGTCTTATCTCCAAACTGTGTGCTCTTGCCAGCATACTCTATCGCTTCTCTGTCCCTCCCTTACACAAATATTGAATGCTCAGTATGTGTTAGGAATTGTTGTAGGTGCTGGGGCTATACAGATATACAATTAAAAGGAGGCAAATAATCTGTCTTATGAAACTTAAATTCTTATATAAACAGACAGAAAATACCCATTATACATTATATATGTACATATAGTACCCATTATATATTATATATGTACATCTATTATATTAATATATAATAAAATACCTGTTATACTATATATATATATATAATGTATAATGAGTATTTTCTGTCTATATTTAATTAATATAATATATGGTCTGGGTAATATTGGCTTTGCTGCCCAATGAAAGAATGGACTCTGTTTGGCTAAAGTTAATCAGTGCATGCTATCTTCCTGTGGTGGGAGCCGTAATGACTTCAAAAATGAGACACATATTATAAACAAGAGTAGACTAATTGAAAGTGATGCTCGCCTTCATGAGCTTTTTGAACCACTAGATTAAGCTTCACCTGAAGCCTGACATATATTTGAACTACTGCTTTACAGGGATTATCAATT